GGCTAAATTGGTTAATTTTTCTCTTAAATCTTGAATTTCAGTATCTCTTATTCGTTTGTTTTCTTCATTCAAGTTTTTTAAGTCTTCAATCCCTTTGGTTAGTTCTTTTCTCTCATTAGCTAAACGGCGAATATCTGATACAACATGCTTTTGATATTCAGCATTATCTTTATTTTTTTCTTTTTCATCCTCTAATTTAGCGATTAAGTCATCAATAATTTGCTGTTGATTTTGAAAGATAAGAGCACTTCCCTTAACAACGGCATCTAATTGGGTGATCCGATCATTTTTACTAATTATTTCTTGCTCGGCTTGGGTTTTTTGCAGTTCTAAATTTTTAATTATTTTGTCTTTGGTCTTTCTTAAATTCTCTATTTGTTGTTCTTTAGCAGTAATGGCCGTATTCATTTGCTGATTTAACTGCTTAATTTCTGAATCAATCGCCTGTGATAAATCATCAGTTTTGTATTTAGACCTTAGTTGCCAAAAATCTCATAGCAATTGGCTCTTTTTCTCAAAAGTTAAGTCCTGACGAATTTCCGTCATTCATTTGATTAGATTTTGATTATTTGTCATGTTTTATTATACTTTGACTTATATTTTGCTTTACTTTTATTCCATTGAGTAGATTTATATTGATTAGTTGATTTTGCTTGCTTAAATCTATTAAAAGTATAAGGAGAAGTATTTTTATTGTTGTTCCGACTATATTTTATTGTTCCGACTTTTATATAAATAGTCTTTCACTCGCTTTTTTGAGGGTCATAGATGAAATTAGGTTCTTTATTCATTTTTACACCATTAGTTTATTTTTTAATTTCCAAAGTTATATATTGCTCTTCGGTTTGGGTTTCTTTATCTTCCTTTTTTACTAATTCTTTTTCTTGTAATTTATCAATAAGAGCATGATTACTTATATTCTCTTGTATCAGTTTTAAATTATCTAATTTCATTTCTAGTCTTTTAATTCTCTTAACTGCTCGTGGTTCGTTGGTTTTGGTTTCGGTTATTTTCTGTTGAGTTTTAGCAGTTTTATCTCTTAAAGCGGTTAGTCATTTAATTTTAGTTTCAGAGTTTAAAAATATTTCAGGCTTGGCTTTATAAATTTTGTGTGGATGGGCTAATTGTCAGGCTTCCAAATCGTAGTTAAAAGGGCGTAATCGGTCTTGAATTTCCTTACATTTTGCATTAGTGTTGTGGGGAGAACATTCAATTCTGCTATATCCCCCCATTCTTTCAAAGTTGCGTTTTTTGTTCTCTTCTGCCATTTCCTTTGTGCTTTTGACTAGACTAAAAGGCAAGTATTCTAACCCACTATCTACATCCGTAGCTTCGATACAAATAGTTTCTAATCTAATTAAATCTTTTCAACTTTCAAAAGAGCCGTAGAATTTGTTATGTTTTCTTCCAAAAATACTCAGCATGGTTCCTATTTTCAAACGGTATAAATTAACAAATTTGCTGAAAATAGCAATATTGGTTGGCTTAATGTTATTATTATAAATCTCTAAATTACTTAATTTTTCTGGATTAGGCAACTCACTTAAAAAATCTAGATCAGTCAAATTATTATTGGGAAGGGACAAATCTTGTAAATTGATGCAACCATTAACATTTAATTTAGTTAAAGATCTTGATGAATCTGATATAGTTAAACGTCTTGAAAAATCTGAGCCATTAATGCAAATACTCTTTATATTTGTAAACTCACTTAAATCTAATTCTCAGTCTTCAAATCCTTTTTCACAAAATAAATCCGAACTACTGATTTTCTTTACCTTTTTTTTATCCTCTTTCGTTGGGTATTTCTGATTTAAAAATTCTTGTATTTTCATATTAGTTAATTTTGATACTTCATAATTTTCTTTTTATTAATTCTTGTTTAGTAATTTTCTACTATTAATTGAACTGTTTTTTGGCAAAAAGAACAAATACGATAAATCCTGTTGGTATTAAATCCTCTACTCGAAATTCGAGAGTATTTAAAATTATCTTGTCTAAATTGCGAACAGATTTCACAAAGTTTGGATTCTTTTTTGCGATTAGCATTTTTAAAATTGTTTTGTCAGTTTCTGCTGGCTAACCGCCCTTCTAATTGTTGAGAAGAGTATCCTTCTAGTTTACTTTTTACTTGTTGAGGAGTTTGATTGGGAAAAGCTTTTTTTCACCGACTAAGTTCTTCAATTATTTCTTCTAATTTTTGTCCCTCTTCGGCTAATTCTCTAATTATTTCTTTTTGTTCCTTATTCATTACAAAGCCGGCTCTGGCTCCCCAACTTCTAAATATCTTTTCAACAAACCGAGACTACCGTCAGCAAAATCATTTTCTTTATTGTATTTCTGACCCCCGCTTCATAATTCAAATAATTTTTGATAGTCTTGGGTAGTTTTAGCCTCTTTTATCCACTCTAAAACTTGTTTTGCTCTTTCCTTTTTTTCCGGATAAATACTTAATTCAAAATCCAGTTCTTTATGAATTCAGTTGACAGAATTATCGCCTTGCAAATAATCTTCCAGTTCTTTTTCCTTTTCCTCTAATAATTTAGCAATTTTTTCTTGGGCTTTTTCGATGGTAATAACTGGTTCGTCTAAAGCATACCTTTTAATTCGCACGTTTTCCAAAATGCGGTTAGCCTGTTGTAAAAAATAATTATTTTGTTGTTCTAATTTGGCTGACTTTTCCCTTTCCTTTTCTAATTCTTGTTTATCTAACTCATCCTGCTCGTTACTCTTTCTTTTGGCGTAATTATTATAAAATTCTTCGGTAGAAATAGTAGTGTCGGGTCTTTTTCTTAATTCTTCTAATTCTTCTTGGACTTCTGCTAATTCTCGGTCTCCAAAAAAACCAGTTCATTCATTTAGTTTAGTTTGGGTTTCCGACAACTTTGTTTTTAATTCTTTAATTCTTTCTCCTAAACTTTTTAGGATATTTTGATTTTCTTGAACCGATTTGTCTAAATCATTTTCGAGATTTTGGATCTTTTGTTTCGCTTCCTCTTCGGTTTTAGTTAGTTTTTGTTCTAATTCCTTAATTTCTTCCTGAACTTCAGAGGGTTTTTTATCGCCAAAAGTATCAGTTCAGACTTTTAATTCGGCTTTTTTTTGAAGATAATCGGCTTCATGCTTTTCTAATTCTTTTAAACGAGCCATTTTAAGTTCTCACTCGGCCGGCAAATCCTTAACATTTAATTTATCATAATCTTTTATTTTGTCTTTCTCTCCGGCTTTTAAGACTTCTCCTACTGTATCATTTTTAAAGTCTTTAAATTCGCCAATCTTTTTTTTATCTTCTTCGGAAAGATTACTATTTTCAATCAAGTCTTCAAAAAATTTGCGGTTAATTCCACTTTGGGAAATATTATTATTGTTATTCTCGTTATTCATATAATTTAATATTAAATAATTTTAGTATTTAAAGTTTTCAAAATCTTTAACAATTCTTCCTTTTTTTCTTTTATTTCTTTATAATCAGCAGGCAAAGATGTTTCTGAATTAGTTGTTGGTAAACTATTATTAGCCAGTTGCTTTTTTAGTTCTTCTAATTCTAAATATAAAGGCTTAATAATGGTTGCTAATAACCCACCAATCTTTTTTATATATTCTTCTTCATGGATTTTTTCATTCTGCCCGATTGAAGTTTTGCTTTCTTCTGGCTGGTCTGATTTAGAACAGACTAAATCTTTTTTTAATTGCTCTGATTCGGCTTTTAGACTTTCATAAGTATTTAGTTTTTCTTGTTCTTCGGGAGTTAATTTAATATAATCCTTAAATTTCTCTTTTTCCTCCTGAACCGCTTTTGTTAATTCTTCGGAAGTTGGTCGTTTCTCAACTTCAATTAATTTCGCTTCTATCTGTCTCAATTTTTCTTCAGTAGTCTTTTTTTCACTCAATTGCTGTTCTCAATCGGTAGGCAAATTATTAGGTTTTAAATCTTCCGGCTGATGTTTTTCTTGGTTATTTAAGAGTTCTTGGTAATTTTCATCAGTAATATCTGGTCTTTGCTGTAAATTTTTTATCTCTTCCTCCTTGCTTTGTAAAGTTTTTTCTTGCTCTGCTAATTTAGTGGTTAATTCTTGTTTGATTTGTTCGGCTGATGCTTTACATTCGGCAATTTTATTATCCTTATTTTGTAATTCAGTTTGCGAAGTTTTTGACTTTTCTTCTAATTCATCACATTTACTTTGTAAATTTGAAAGATTACTTTGTAATTCCTTATTTTTAGTGGCTAATTGGTCTTTGTCCGCTTTCAACTGTTCTACTTCCGCTACCAATTCCTTTATTTTAGAAATAAAATCGGCTCGGGGAATTTTGCCACTAAGGCCTTTTTTCTTACTTTCTAGTCATTCATCAACATTAAAAGGTTGGTTTTTGCCATTTGCCATTTTTTAAGTAAATGATAATCCTACTTGTTAAGATATTGCATAAATTTCAATAATCTATCTAAACTACCGTCAAAATCTAAACCATAGTCTTCATCATCTTTTCATTTTTGAACTAATTCTTTATAATCATTAATTCCACTTCACCTTTTAGCCAGTTGCTGATAATTTTTATGGGTTTGAGTTTCGGATATTTCCCTCAAAATGTCTCTAAAATGTTTTTTTCTTTGGGGGGAATTAAGGCGAGTTGCCAAAACGGGATTATCTCCATTTTTAAGATGAGAAAGTCATTTCTCTCCGGTTTTTTTTAAATGTCTTAAAATTGCCTCTTCGGCTTGTTCGGGGG